GAGTCTGGAAGATTGGAGGTGTGCCTGCCTTGGCTAGGGAGCCTGCCTTGGTTGGTTGGCAATTAATGGAGAGGAAATAAAGCAGTTTTTATTGACTTTTATTGGTTTGTTTGAGACCTCATGTTTCGGCACAAGCCATTCATCATATAGAACATTAATTTCCTTTTGAAATTCTTTGACCATTTAGAGCCATTTCCACATTGTTTGGTACTTAACCGTTTGCAGTTTCATATTGTTCTCTGAGTACACAGTGTGTGCAAATCTGGCTTCCTCATTAGGATCATAAACACCTTAAAGGCAAGCAAACTGACATACAATTCACTTCATTAGGATTTCCCAGAACACCTACATGCGGTTAGGTACAATGTTGCTCAGCTTGCAGGATGAGGTTCTGGCACACAGTCACAAGCACTGGAGTGATGCCAGTTCCACATGCCAATCTCAGCCCAACTGCTTGGGTAAAGCAAGCCTTGGCAGTCTCTGAGAGCTACATCAAAATGGAGAACCTTGAATCCTATGCGCAGTAAAAACTGCTTATCGCCCAGAGACTCTAAGCTCCATGAGGGCAGGAATCAGGTTTTATTTTTTTCTCAGCACCCAGCACCCACTAGGGCTTGGAGGGATGAAAAACATGAAACCAAGTTTCCCCCCACTACCCGTTAATCTCTTGGATTACTGTCCCCACGTTTTGTATTTATCTCCATTTACAATTTATAACCAATCCCCAGAAGTTAAGGTGAATCCAGAAAACAAACCAACATGGCACCCAACACGGTACACAGAGAGATAGTGGCATTTCTCTTAGGCCTGCTCATTGGGATTTGTAGGGGTGGGATGGAGGAGATTGGGGATCATGAAGGAAGGTCACTAGCCTGCTAGCCCTGGGTCTCTGGGCATGCTGTGGAGAGATAATATTATTGTTCCTCTCCTTGAGATGAATGGCCGGATGTCACATTGAACTCTTGGCAGCCCCCAGGCAGTGGAACGCGGCTCTGAAAGGTCCCTGTCTGGCTGGCAGCTTCCTGACAGGGAAGGCTGCCAGGCGGCTGTGACAGCTGTGCAGTGCCGTGGTTCTTTGGTGCACTGCCATTTCTGACCTTCCTGCCTGTTACTGATGGGAAGTAGACGGGAAGCTCAGATGCTGAGGGACTCCATTTTCCACTGACTTTCATTTGTTAGTGAAATGCCTGCCTATCTTGCCCTTTAAAATGGTAATCGCTTGACGGTGGTCCTTGGCTTTGCTTTTCTGGTTAATAGAAACTTATTGATTTCTGTGTATGAAGGGGCTCTATGTGTCACTTTGCTCCAGAAGTTGGTGGATTTTAATGTGATTACATGACCATACTTGTTTACTAGCATCTTACCACAGTAATTGATCTTCATTATAGTCTACCAGTAGGAGAAAACACCTGCCTGAATAAAAATGTTTGTAGGAAATGTTGCCTATTTCAAGGCTATAGCAGAGCTACATTTGTTTTTCTTTCTTTTTAAAAAAATTTTTCAGAGGGTGCATGCACTTGTTAGAGAGAAAGAAAGTACCCCACAAACACACACGGCAGAGTTAACACACAATTCTTTATTCTCTATTTGTCTGTTCATCAGGATTTTTGGCATGCACACATACATGCCTGGTATATTTATCAAATCACTGTGGCTGGGATTTGAACTGTGGTTGACTATGTGAGATCCAACTCCCTCTAATAGTACTTAACCACTGTACTACAGGACAGCCTCTGAATATTTTTTTTTTTTAATTAAAGATACCATTGCTGACTGTGGACGACTCTAATAAATTTGACTTATTTTCTCTTAACCACCAGACCATTCCTTCTGTAGCTCAGGAGAGCACTCCTCCACCCCATCTGCTTGCTATGTCCTGTAACCTGTGCTCTTGCTGTAGTTCTTCGGGTTCCATATTTTCCTTATTCCCCTCCAAATTTAGCTGAATTGCAAAGTTAAGTTTATGATTATGAAATAAAAACTCAGTAACAAAAATTTAAAATAAAGAAACCACTTTAATAATTTACTGTTTTTGAAAAAGAAATTCAGATATACTGAGATGGATACCCTACCTCAGCTGTGAAATATTGTTTTCCTTTACCAAAAATAAAAATTTTCTGCTGAGACTTCCCCCTCCAGACTCATTTCTAGTGAGTAGAGAAAGCTCTGTGTCTCTTTATCTCCATTTCTGCCTGTCTCTCTCTGTCTTGCTGTGTCTCCCTGTGACTTTAAATTAAAAAAAAAATTTTTTTAAAGGTAAAGTATTCTCAGGGCTCTCAAGCCTCTCCTTTATTGTGTTAATTGGTGCCTTTTCTCACTTCATTTAGGAAAGGTACGCCCAAGCCAGGCCTATACTGAGATGGATACCCTACTTCAGCTGTGAAACACTGGTTTCGCACCATGTGGTTTTCATTTTTTGCTTTTTAAAATTATAATCTTATGGGTTTTTTATCCTCTTTTTTTCTTTCTTGTTTTTCATTTTATTTTTTCTTCTTCTTTCCTCTTAATTCTTTTCCTTTTTTATTTGTCTTTATTCATTTAGCTGATCAGCCTCTATGCACAGTGTCTAGACAGGTCCAAGTGAACAGTTTCAAAACATCTGAATATGATTAGGGTCAGAATATTCTTCTCTTCACCTTGAATCTGATGAACAAAGAGTGAACACGGAACAGAAGAGAGATTGCTGATCACCTCCTTCTGCTCACATCTGAATGCTCAATTTGAACATCAAGAATTAGGAAGAAACGTCCCAACCAAAAGATGACTAGAAATCAGTGAAGGATCACAAGACATATGGGAAACCAAGACAATACCTCTCTGCCAAGGGAAAAAAAAATAACACCTCTTCATCCTCAGACAATACAATGAAACTCATGGAAATGTCTGATAAGGAATTTAGAATGTTCATAATGATGAAGCTAACACAGATGGAAGAGAAGAGAGACAATGAACTGCAGAAGAATTTACCAGCACCAGACCAGATCTCCAAGTTCCCAAGGGAGTGCTATACCAGGAAAATTAAATACAGATACACAGAAATAAGAGTTCATAAACTAAGAAAATGGCTGACTTAATTGTAGGGACAAGAAATATCACTGCAGAAGAGGCAGGAAAAAGGGGATGACGAGTTCCGGGAGGTGAGGAAATTCTTGCAAGATCTAAAAGAGGAAATACACACTCTAAAAAAGAATCAAATGGATCTGTTAGAGATGAAGGTTATAACACAGGAAGTTAAAATCTCCCTTGAAAATATTAAAAGCAGACTAGATCATACAGAAAATTGAATCTCAGATGTAGAAGATAGAATAGCTGGCCTAAAAAAATCCACCATGAAGACTGAGAAAGTGGCCAAAAAAAAAAAAAGGGAATAATATATGAGAAATATTAGATACCATAAAACGTCCAAACATCCAGATAATTGGTATCCCAGAAGGCAAGGAGATTCATAAAGGCATTGAAATCTATTCCATGAAATCCTGCAAGAAAACTTTCCAAACCTAAAGAGGCACTCAAAGATCCAGTCCCAACAAATACAAAGGACCCCAAATAGAATCAACCCAAGAAGAACTTCTCCAAGACACATTATGTCCAGATTGACCAAAACCACAGACAAAAACAAGATACTGAGATTGCCAAGAGAGAAATGCCAAGTTACCTACAATGGATATTCCATCAGGCTAACAGTGGTCCTCTCATCGGAAACAACGTGAGCGAGGAAAGAATGGGAAAATATATTCAAAGTGTTAAGGGAAAAGCAATTGCAACCAAAAATACTGTACCCGGCAAGATTATCCTTCATATGGGAAGAAAAGACAAGAATATTCTCAGATAAACAAAACCTGACAGAATTTACCAACACCAGACCAGATCTCTAAGAAGTTCTCAAGGGAGTGCTATACCAGGAAAATTAAATATAGACACACAGAAATGAGAGTTCAAAAACTATGAAAATGGCCAACTTAAATGTAGAGACATGTCTAGAGTTGAATATTATATCCTAGAATTTAATTGGGAAGATCTGACCACAACAGAAGATAGATTAAGTACATAAGACTGAACTGGTGAAATAGCATTTTATGACTTTTGACTAAAACATTGCTGATTTTCTTTTAGGCTTTCTTTTCCAATTTTAAGGATTTTTGTCCTGTCTTGAGCTGTCGATACATTCATGTACCTACTATTTGAACAGAATCCTAACCTGTTTCCTGGCTTTAAGTTTTCAGCAAAGTTCCTTAGCATTTCTTTGATTTAAGTTAAAACTGTTTTTCTTGAAATTACCAGTTGAACTTGCTATTGAAAGTAGCTAGATTATTTAAGAAATTGTGTGATCAATAAAATGTGGGGGGAAAAGGAATGGAAGACAACTGTAGACACCAAAGATAGTGTGAGAAGAGGATGGGAAAGGACAGAGGTCAGAAAGAGGGGTATAATATATATTATATGAAACTAGAAATGGAAAATTTTTGACAATAACATGCATGATTAAGCCGCTATGCAGTATATTCTGAATGGGAAATCACATTTTGTATGCTGTGATGGTGCTTAGGGAATGAATGCAAATTAAGTTAAAAAGAAAGTTTCAGACAAAAAAAAAAAAACTAAAACGGTTTTTCTTGAAATTAAAAAATGCATTAAAAATATCTATTTAATGACTGCAGTAAGTTTAGGGAAAAAATGAATGAGAAAAATAAATAAAGTGCTGAACCCTTAAAAAAAGGGGAGTCTTCAATAAGTGTAAAAAAATAAAAATAAAGTAATTCTCACGAGTTTGTAAGAAAAAAAGAAAAAAAATTCAAAATGTTAATGCTAATTATTTGGAATGTTTACACCTTGGAAGACTTAATAGGGAACTACCTTTCTAAATTCTCTTAAAGTAGCTACTTTTATAGGAAGTCAATGAGAAGTGAAATCAATTTTCCATCAAGAGATGCATAAATGTTAACTTATATTTTCCTCTGCAGTCAAAGGAGAAAAGTTAAAGGTGAAATTTCAGACATTACCTTTCAGCATGATTCGTCCAGTGGATCCTCCAAAAGAACTGAGAAGGCCACTTCTCGCTCCTAAAGATGTGGTCGCTTCTAGGAGAGAACCGGTGATGTACTGAGATAGGGAAGTCCTTTGGAGGGTGGCACGAAACTCACAAACGATATCTGGGACACATTGCTTCAAGCATGGACCAACACTAATCCTCCCATGGGCTGTCTCAGAGGCTGGGAGCTTTGTGAAGAAATGAAGAAGAGACCCAATGGTATTTTCTGTTTCTTCTCCCCTTTTCACTGTGTTGTAGATCTGCGAATAGCACAAAGTACAGGAAGTATTAATCTAGTTTCTTAGGAACACAAATTAACTTGTTGACAAACTGCCAAGATGACTTATTAAGAAAGAAACCTCAGTCATTCTAAGTGCAAACAGTTTTGAGCCCTGGACTCGTGCATTAACCTGAACATTCCACAGACACCATTTATTTGGAAAAGTGATGTGTAGTTATGAAATAGGCCATTTGAACAACCCTGCTATCAAACAGAGCACTTACGCATTGTACCAGCCAAAAATACATTCAGCTCAAATGTCTCCTCCTCCTCCTCAACAGAACAAAAGCTCTTCTGCAGAGGGACAGATCCAGACCTTCCCTTTTTGTCCTTTTGGACTCTCTTGAGTGACCATGCCATATCTGTAAGCCTCTGTGGAAGGCTTCAGCCTGATATTCACAAGGAATCTCTTCTCTATCCTGAAATTGAAGTGAGGATGAAAGGATTACAGGGAAGGAGAGCTTCTCAATCTCTCTCTTGGGCATAATTCTTTAATCTATCTATTAAAATCAAAGTCTAAATCCTTTTTTCTCTTCATCTCTCACACTTCCCATATTCAATGAGTTCACAGATCCTGCCCACACTTCCTGCCCTGTCTCTGTCATTGTCATGATTTCCTCTTCTTTAGCCATGAATGATCCCCAAAAGATTAGACTATTAAGAGGTTCTCAACGTGCCTCCAATTCATTCCAATGCAACTGTTCAGCACGCACATTGACAGACCCTGCTCTTTGCAAGGCACTGCATCAGAAGATGTGGGGCAAGTGTAAATGGTGAACACACCCGTGTGCCACAGGATCTCACAATCTAATTCGGAAGATGAGGCCTGAAAATGGTGAGGTCTGACATTATTGCAGGAAGGCTTTGGGTTTTGTCAAACATTTTGAAAAGTCAGAGACTTCTGGATAGTGTATAAGCAATGGGGAAACACAACATGGGATGAGGTAGTTTATTTTTCTGATGGTGAAACAAAGATTTACTGAATTGGGTTGTCTCTATCATGCCACCTTGAGCACCTGGCCTTGATTGACTTGTCATTCATTCATCCAACCAATAAACAGTTATTAAGTATTAATATGCCAGTCACTGTGTCAGGTCTAGATAAATGTGACAGTTTCTTCCACCGAAGAGTTCACAGTCTAGTAAAGGAGATAGAGAGATAACAAAGAGCTTAGAGTAGGATGTAAATAGAGGTACCTCCTTTGGTGGCATTAATAAGTGGCCAAGGAAAGAAAGATCTTTACTAAATGAACCACTTATTAAAAAAAATAATGGAAAATCCTACATAAGATTGTGGGAGGAGGAAGCAGGACGAAACTGTCATTACAAGTGTGGCTTTGGAGTGTTTGAATCTTAGCTCCCATGTTTTCCATCTGTGTGTCCCTGAATTAGTTGCTTTTTCATTCTGTGCCTCAATTTCTTTTTCACCAATGTGGAGATAGAATGTCTGCCTCATAAGGTTATGACTAGAATTATAATCTCTGATACACATAATGTAATTAAAACAGACCTGGCCTTAGTAAATGCTCAATAAATACTGGTTTTTATGATGATGGTGATGATGACTGTGAAAGACCACAAAAATGACCATTGGGCCAGCCAATTGTGTGGTAGTTAATGTGGTTAGATCCTACATGGTTGATTGCACAGTTCAAGTCCTAGACTCAGTGACTTGAAAAATATGCTAGGGGTGTGTGTGTGTGTGTGTGTGTGTGTGTGTGTGTACCCAAAATCCCAAGAGGAAAATGGAGAAGGGATTGAAGCCTGGCTATCCCTCCTGTGAGGTGACTTCTCACTTTCCGTCTCACTCTTCTCAGCAAGCTCATGGTCCCTATAGCAAATATTTTTAAAGATGGCCATAAGCTATTTCCCTCACTGACTCTGGGCTGGTATTGTGGTTTGCTTAACTAATGGGAATTCAGAAAATATGATTCAAACAGAATTTTAAAAAAACCCTTGTGCATTGGCCTTGCTCTTTTTTTCTGCTTTGGAAAACTCTACAACAACTACCATACGAAAAAGTCAGAGCTAGCTAGAGGATGAGAGATCACAGCCCCATCACTTTTGTCTCCCTGGCTGATAGACAGCCAATAGTCAGACACATGTGAGGCCATCCTAGATCCCAGACCATTATTTGCCAGTCCAACCACCCTACAGATGCATGAGAGAGCACAGCATAGATTAGTCGATACAGATTAGGATTACCTAGCCAATTCTCAGAATCATGAGCTAAATAAATGATTGTTGGAAAGTCACTAAGTTGTGGGAGTACTCTGTTACAAATCAAAAGTTTACTGACACATTGGGACCAGCAGTTAGCATAATGGCTATGTCACTGGACTCCCATGTAGTCGACCGCGGTTTGCATCCTGGACCTGGTGGCTGAAATCTCATGCTGGGCGCGTGTGCGTGCGTGCCCAAGATCCCGAGAGGAGAATGGAGGAGAAGGGATTGCAGTGTGGCCATTCCCCCTGGGGGGAGATTTCTCGCTTTCTATCTCTCTGTCTCTCTGTCTGGTGAGCGCACGCACCCTATAGCGAAAACCTCTCCAAAAAAAAAAAAGTTAACTGACACAGTGATGATTGTATTGGGCACAACGATCAGTATTTTAATTATATAACAATTGAATGAGGTTGACTAATTTTGCAGATGTAGAAAGCAAGCCTAGAGAGGTGAATAAATATAGTCAGTCTTACACAGAGACTAAGCCAGGATTGAAATCCAGTTCTCACCAACTCTATGTCCAGCTTTAGTCATCTTAGTATACAATTATCATACCACAGCCCATTGGGTTTTAAGATAACATTGTTATTTGGCAAGAGGTTTGAGTGACGTTTATACTCTTATTGTTGCTATTTTATGTATGATTTTTTTTTCATGGTCATCCCAAATGAATTTAGAAATTAGTCAAATTATAACTAATGAATAATTAAATATGTTTCCTTTATACGAAGAGTTATAGTTTTAAGTTACAAAATTTAAAAATATATAAACCTGATCTTACTTGATTAATATAGTAATAGAAGGCACTGAAAAGTAGACAATATATTTTTTGAGATCAAATCAACATGTCTCAACATGGCATCCAAGCTCATTGAATAAATATGTGTTCATTCATTCAACAATTGAATTACATTTATTGAGCATACACTGTGCCAAGTACAACTGCTGGAGTCCTAACTAAGCAAGAAGAGCTTCATGTTAATGGAGAAGACAGTTGGTAAACAAGTAGACTGAATAAGTTCATTTCAAATTGCAGACTTCTACATACACTCTAGATATATTTTGGATGTAGATGCTGCAGGGCTTATTGAAGTTGTTGGAAGGGAGCAAAGGAAACAAGTCAAGGTTTCTACATCTGGCCTTTGTTAAGTTCTTAGATATTTATGATTTATATACAGATAATCGATGAGCCCTGAAATCAGCACTCCTCATGGCTCCTGGGTTTGACAACCACTATAAAGGGCAAATAGATCCTCTCTATGGAATTACATCCCTCCCGTCATGGGAGGTGCTATGAGATGACATGGCCGAGAGTGATCAGAGCAAAATGACCTTGGTATCACGAAGTTACCTGAAGCCAAGCAATGCTCAGACAACATTTGCAAAAATACTCTAAAAACATTTTCAGTTTCTCGTGACTCTAGAAAGCCTTGTAGAAACCGGCACTGGGACATGGAGTTCAGACTAAAAACAAAACAAAACAAACATACTAAGACTAAATAGAGCTGGGGTAGTTCAGATGGAGACCAAGCCAAAGACTTTAGTGCCTAAAAGGCATGAAGCAGCCAGACATACCACATACACACACTCATCTAAGAAGAAAGCTGCTTCCTCTACATAGTCAAGAATGGTTTTATCTTAACTTGACAACTCGAGGGTACTGTCAAAGGGGAGTCAATAGTATTTTGTTTCAAAGCTGTCTTTCTGGGATCAGAGTTATGGCAAATCATGCTTTTCCAAGATCTGATGGCATATCTTCTGAAATTGTTCAACAGGAAGATGGCTTGAGTCCCTTGACTCAATAATAATTGCAACAGTTATTGAGTCATTAAAATGAATTACTTATTAAGACATGATTTCATGTAAACCCAAGAACAGCTCTATGAAGAGGTCTTATTGTTATCAGCATTTAAAGATAAGTAACTTGGGGGCAGATGGTGGTGCAATGGTAAAATGCAATGCTGTATAAGGCATTTCCCACATGGGACGGTTCCTGGTTCAAGTCAGGAGACCTCCCTGAGTATGCTGGGCACACACTTGCCCATGACCTGAGACTGACTGAAAACTGGGGATGGACTGCAGCATCGGGACCCTGTTTGGTCAATCTTTCTTCCCTCTCCCACTTGCATGCATGCTCTTAAGAGACATAAATTAATAAAATAAAAAATTTAAAAAGATAAGGAACTGGGCCAGCAGGTGGCATGATGGTTAAGGCACTGGATCCCACATGGCTGATCATGGTTTGAGTCCCAGACCTGGTGGCTTGAAAAATCATATCAACCATGCCTAGAATCCTGAGAGAGTAGAGGAGAAGGAAATACAGAATTGGCCAACCCTGTGGGGGCGGGGGAGGGGGGCTCCCTACTCTCACTTTCCCTCACTCTGTCTCTCAATGGCTCTCTGGCAAGCACATGGGCCCTATTGCAAAAAACAAAAACAGAAATAAAGGAACTAATATAAACAGAGCTAGGACTTACCATCAGGACTCTCTAAGTCTAAGCCAATGTATCCTACTACCAATTGAGCCATTAGAGAATCCTATAATAGACGTCAAAGGGAGCATTTTCAAGAGGTGGGTAACTGTATGCCTCCATCTCTCTCTGTTTCTTTACTGTCCATCTCCTCCCACTAGAATGTCAGCTTCATGAGGACTTTCTTTTCTTTCATTGCTATATCTCCAGTGTTTAGAATGATACTTGGCATTATAGCTCCTCCACAAATTGTTCTTGATTGAATGAATGAATTTCTCTATCTTAC